AGCAGGTAATAATTGAATTAGGCAGAAATTCACCCAGTGGATACCCAGTAGGGCACTCCAGGACTAGGAAGTGGTATGAGCAGAGATCAGAGCAAAAGTTTCTTGAGTGTGTATCCAGCTCTAGTTTGGAGCGGAATTCCTTGAATAGGATTAGTGGGACAGAAGGCTGGAAAGGCCAGGTTGGTATTTGACTGTGTATGGCTTTAATGGGGGACTAAGAAGTTTGCCCAGAGATGCTCCTATCAACCACCCGTGCCACTTCTTACTGTGAGTAGTCACACAACCCAGGGTCCCAAATTCATGTTGTGTGTTTCTAAGAAGAGGTCTCAGTGGCTGGCTGAGAGTGGGAGACCTTCTTTTGGGGGCTCCATTTCCTTCCTCTTCTCTCTGGTAGTTGGGGAAAAATCCAAAGGGATCAGTCTGCCGGGAGATGATGAGATTAGCTTCCGAGGGTTCTTGTTTAGGGCCAGGGTCCCAGTGTTGGCGTCCTTCCCTCTGGAAGACTAAAAACCTAAAAATAAACATCGCAACTAGAATTCCTAAGAAGCTTCAAGCCCCCGGCAATCTGTTGGTTGCCAACCCTGGTGTGTGATCTCCCAGCCCAAGGAATTTAGCAGCAACCTAATATCTATGCACAGGTTTTCCTCTCCTCTTGCCTTACCCCCTTCTCTATGGCACAAAACCAAAGTCAGCCTCCTCACCCCCGGCCAATTAATATGATCTCACCTATCCAGCAAATAATATTTTTTAAAGTCAGTAACCAGCAGGTAAAATGTGTAAATAGAAAAGAAATACTTAGTAATCACCCTTGCTGCAGGGGCAATAAAATAAAAAGGGAGAAAAGTGGAAAGGCCCCATTATGTCTTCAGAGAAGCCAGAATCCAGTCACTCTGCTGAGCTTCTATGGCTCCTGGGAAGCCTGGACAGGCTGCCCCTGCCCTGCCCCTTCCCCTGCAAGCACTCTCTTCATTTCCTCTCTGGTCCCTCTTCAGAAAGACTTTTCAAACTCCCACTGAGCTCCCCAGGCCTGATTCCCCAATAAGAGGCCCCTCACTCCTAGGGTCTGCCAGCCTTGTTAGAATGGCTGCTACATATGCTCTCTCACCTGGATGCATAGAGTAGGAGGGTGAGGGGGGTTAACGGTACTACTTCAAATTTCTTTCTTCAAGCCTCCTACAACCCCACTTCACTGTTCCTTGCCTCATACTTCAGGAAAAAACATCTGCCTCCCATAATTCCATACATCAAGCCACCCTGGTAGCTAGGGGGTGCTGCTGTGAATAGCGTACCCGGCCTGGAGTTGGGATGACTCAAGTTCTAATCTGCCCTCAGACCCTTCCTAGTTGTGTGTCTCTGGACAAGTCATTTAACCCCTGTTTGCCTCAGTTTCCTCATGTGTAAAATAAGGGAAATAACAGCACTTACCTCCCAGGGTTGTTGTGAAGATCAAATGAGATAAGAATTGCAAAGCCCTTAGCACGGGGCCTGGCACATAATAATAGGTGCTATAGAAATGCGAGCTATTACTACTACTACTACTACTACTACTACTACTACTACTACCACCACCACCACCACCACTCTGCCCATTCTCCCCCCCTCCTTTGCTCTAGCATTGATGAAGTGGCCCTTCTTGCCAGTACCAACCCCTATCTCTACCAATGCACTTAATGCCATCCTTTCCTGCCCCTTCAACTGACCCCCTTCATTCCTTCTTATCCATTCACTCCTCTGTTGCCTACAGGCCTGCCTTGGTTCCCTCATCCTTACAAACTCCTTGCTTTGCCCTTCCTTTCACAGCCAGACTCCAAGGAAAAGCTGCCACTTGCTGCCTCCACTTTCTTCCCTCCTTTTCCCAGTTCTCCTATTTCTCCCAACAGTACCATCACTCTTCTAGTCCCCAGGCTCACAGTTTTGGAGTTAGCCTTGATTCTCTGCTCTCTCTCATGGGCCATATTTAATCAGTCATCGAGTCTTTCCCCTCAATTCCACATCCTCAAAATCTCTCCCAGCCACTCTCTTCTCTCTACTCTCCCTCTAGTCAGACCTGTGGCACCTCTCTCTCTTCCACTATTTCAAGAGTCTGTGATTTGAGATTCCTGCATCCACCTATGCCAGTCTCCAAGCCACCCACAGCTGCCAAATTCATGTTCCTAAAGTCAACATCCACTGTTGGAGAAGCCTCAGGGCCTTCCCATTACCCATGTAAACTCCTAGGTTTGGCACTGAAAGCACTTCAGAACTTACTTGTGGTTCATGTTCTTTACTTACTGCCCCAGAAGTGCTAGATGGTCCAGCTAAATTGGCCTCCTCCTTTCCCTGTACGTAACATTCTATCACTTGTTTCTGTGCTTTCTTTCTATGCCAGGGGTCCCATACCAGGATCCCCTCTCTCCTCAAAATCTTTCAGTCTCTCCTCCTAGCTCTGAAAACTATATTCCTCATTAGCCCCTGATGTCCAGATGCGGCTACGAAAGCATCTGCAAAGGCAAGAGGCTAAGAGATGGAACACTGAGGAGACTAAAATGGAAGAAGCCTGAGAAGGGACGCTGGAAAGAAACTGAGCGTTGGGTCTCTCCTGAAGATTCCCTCCTGAACGCTGGCCACTTGATCCCATTTCTCCTTTCCCATAGACCTGGAGGGCAGATCAGAATATGCCTTTCTCTACTGTCACCCTTGCTCTTCAGCCATCACTCAACAAGTAATTATTTGGAAAAGGGACTGGATTTGGGGGTCAGGGAACTTGGGTTCAAATTCTGGCTCTGAAACTTGCTATCTTTTTTTTTTTTCCTTTTTCCTTTGGGAAAGGCAATTAGCCTCTCTAGACCCCTGTGTCCTTGTCTGTGAAATGAGGGAGCAGGATTAGCTGATCTCTAAGGAGCCTTTCCATTCTAAATCTGTGGTTCCATGATCCTAGTGAAAAAGTGTACTAAGAATTAAGGACTGGAAAAATGGAACTTCAGACACAATCTTATCCCCAAGGTTCCTAAACACAGTCACTCAGGACTGTTTCTCCCTCAGCCTTCACATTCAGTCAGCTGTCTTCAGCCAAGGCCTTTACCTCAACCTTTACCTTTGTCTCAGAATCTCTGGACACTCAGGGCAAAGACCATCTTCTCCATGAAGCCTTGGGCCTGACTCACCAACCCCGGCTGCTCATATGACCCATTCCCAAACTACCCTGTACTTAGGAAAAGAAAAACAACTTCTGTACGGTATATAGGATAGCTCTCTGGGAGGGGGAAGAGGGAAGGAGGAGGAAGACATGGGATAATGATGATGACAGAAGAAATAGAAAACATCAATAAAAACTTATTTTTAAAAATAGTAACTGTAACAGAATGAGAAGATAACAGTAGGAATTGAATGAAGAGATATGAGAGGACACTAACCTCCCCCTTCATGGAGGTGGGAGGGAGGTCCCCAGGTGTCACACATCACAGATGATTTTGAACTCTCTCTATAGTGATCACTGGCAATGATGTTTTCCTCTCTAAAAAACACAGTATATGCTTCTATCTGTACATGTTGCCTACCTGGTAAGGCTGTAAGGTCCTGAGAGACTTTTCCTTTTGTCTTTGTATATCCAGCATTTAACATGGTGCACGGCACATAGTAGGTTCTTAATAAAGGCTTGTTTATTGATTGCCAAATCCTCTCAATTCTACCTTCACAGTCTACGTCACCTACACTCCCTTCTTTCCACTCCTGTAGCCATCACCCTACTTCAGCTCCCCAGCCCCTCTCACCTGGACCAGTGAAAGTGGCTCCTAATTGGTTTCCCTGCATCTGACCTTTTGCTCCTTCTCAGATCAATCCTCCTCACAGCTTTTAAAGCTGGATCCCTGAAGCACAGGCCTGACCTCATCCTTGACCTCTTCTAGGACAGACAGCAAACTTCTGCTTGGCCTTGAAAGCCCTTTATGAGCTGACTCTAACTTGTCTTGACAGAATGATTTCATACTATTTCCTCCCTCACTTTGTTTTCCAGTCAAACTTACTTTCTCTTTCCTGTGCACAAAAGACCTTCTGCTATCCTCATGTTTTCCTTTCCATCGGTTGTCCTCCATGCCTCCAAAGCTTACGGAATCCCTACCTCCCTCCAAGGGCCCTCACTACCAAAAGCCCTTTGTGATCCCCACCCCTTCCCTGATTACTGTTCCCCAGTGAAATGAGCTTCCATTTACTTGGCATATATTTCTGGACTCAGGAAGACCTTAGTTCAAATTCAGCTTCAGACTGAACTTCAGACTCTGGGTGAGTCATTTAACTTCTGCCTGCCTCAGTTTCCTCACTTGTAAAATGGAGATAATAATAGCCCCTGCCTTCTAGGATTTTTTGTTAGGATCAAATGAGATAATATTTGAAAAGTGTTGTGTAAACTTTAAGGCACCACACAAATGTATATTATATATGTATATATACATGTAAACTATTATCATCATCACCATTTTGTATTTCTTTATCTGTGTACGTATCATCCTCCCCTCACCTCAATAGGACTTAATCTTGAAACCACACTTGGGCTTTTTTTTTTTTTGCCTTTGTCTTGGTAGAACCAACATCCAACATGTCACCATATAAATGGAGGAGGCTGAGAAATACTTATGATGTAAAGGAGTTGAAATCAGAACATGGTTTTCTGGCCAACAGACACATGTGAGATATCACGAATGTAGTAAGGCTGGGGGAAAATAAGACCCTCCCCCCCGCCACAGCTTTATCACTGTGGGTATACAGCTCTTCCCCTTCCCAGACCACTCATCTGCATCAGAGAGTGAAAGGCGTTTGGGAATTGAGAAACTGAGTTATCCCAAGTCCCAGAGCCATAGCTACTTCTGGACATGAATGATCACAAGGTACAGTTTAACCCCAAGTAATTATGAAGGACAATATAACAAATGCTGACCATAAGCCAGTGTAAAGTATCTGGCAGAAAGACTTGGAGCCTATACCAGGAAGCTTATTTCAAAGAAAAGATTAATCCTGAGAGTACTTACTGGGTGGCTGGAGTCTCTCTGCTCTGTATTAGAGAGAGTTTGGTCCCTGGAGCGAGGAATCTCCTTTGGGGATGAAGGGCCTTCTAGCTGGGACTCTGAAATGGATAAGACAGGCAATATGAATAATATGACAGGTGATGAATAAGACAGGAAAAAAAACACCTGGAAGATGGTAGTTGTTTTCCCTGAGAAGACTCAACTGGCTAGTGTCCACAGGTGGGCTTCTGCTCTAAAAACCCTGTGAAAGCCTCATGGCTTTAAACCAGGGCCTGAAGGCCATGGGTTTCTCACCCCTGGTTTAAACTAAGAGAGCCCTGAGAGCTTTGGTTGAAGTTAGGAGCTAAAGATGTGCCTAAGAGAGCCCTGAGAGCTTTGGTTGAAGTTAGGCGCTAAAGATGTGCCGGGAGCAGCAGCCTGCAGTGGTCACTGGAAACACCTCGAGACTCTGTGGGCTTGGTGAGAGAAGTCCAATGATATCACCAGAAGCCGGGGGAAGTCCCAAATCTAGGAATGAGCTGCCCGACAACACTTCCTCTGTGGGTGCCAATGGGACCTATGTTTATGGGGGAAACATTTGATCACTTCTTTTCTTACTGCTTTCCATTCAATGCTTTTGCTTTGAACTAGTTGTATCCTTGGGCTAATTAATAAAACTAAATAGATCTGTGGGGTTTGAGTGCATGCAGACTCATAGATTACCTTGAGCCTGTGATACCCCTGAGTTGGGGACCTACTCTTTGAACTGGGGGTGGGGGTAAGGGGATGCCCTGATGTCACATTGAACTACAGAGCTGAAACCAAGGCCCAGAAGAGTTGTCATTGCTCAGGATCACACAGGAAGTAAGTGAACCTGGATTCTCTCAAACTCAAGGCTTCTGACTCCAAAAGGAATGTTCTCTTCTGAACCTCAACTGAATCTTGGCCAGGGCCAGCTTCTTCTGCCTGTTTTTCATCAGCAGACACAGATGCAAATGTGCTCCCATACAAAAAGAGACAGCTGATTGACTCACACAACCCAGGGCTCAGGACCCATTAGCTAAATCGAAGAAATATACCATTGCAGACACAATGATATTCTATTTCATCTACTCTATTTGACCCAACTCTCAGGATCCCAGCTCTTCCATTCTCCCCAGGGGGTTAGCTTTGCTTGGTAGCTTGACATCAGTCCTATGTACTCCTATTCCACAGACTGGAATCCATTTCTGCCAATTTCTCTAGCTACCATTCCATCCACTGACCATACCTACCAGTTACCTCTCCAAGAAGAGTTTCCCTTTGGCTGCCACCTTGTCTATCTCTACTATATTCCCTCAAGAGTGACTTCTGATTGACAGCTCTTGTGTTCCAGGACATATATAGATTCACAGCCACTCCCAAATTGGCATTTCCAAGTTAATGGGACCCATAACATATGTGAGGCCCATGCTGTTCCACTTTGTTTTGACCATAGTGGCAATCAATTTCCATTGACCCATGCCCATTGTGTCACCCAGGTGTTTTTGTGTACAGCAGCAGTTGGCTAGGGGCAGTGGTACAGCCTGTGGCCCTATAGCAAAGCAAAGTGAATATTCCTAAAATGACATGTTTCTGAAGATTGTTAATCATCATGAAACTTAATTAGCCAGCAACTACATCTTGGACTTGGAGAACACAAATGATTAGGTCTCTAATTTGTAGTGTCTGAACACTATGTAAATAACCCTACAACTGGCAGCTAGCATGCCACTCACATTTCCCTTTACCTAAGCCTTAGCCAAGGCAGCTGTAGAGACAGACTTCCAGATGAGTCATTAATAAGTAAAACCACAGCCTACCAAAACACTGCTTCCTGACTCTCAGTTAAGTTAGAGGCATTAACTCTTTGGAGCCGTTTTCCCTCAATTCTGTTGCCAGCAGTCAACTAAGTTCATGGAAAACTGCTGAAAACCAAAACAAAACAAAACAAAAGAAAACAAAACCAGCTGCTTGCCTGAATTGCCTGCTTGGTGGTGTTTTCAATAGGGATTCTGCCGGCTTAGAATCCAGAAGGCCTCCTGCGGGGTTGACGGGGACCAAGTCAATTCAGTTCAACTAAACTGAAACTTTTATTAAATTGGTCTTAGATAGCAGGTCTGGTAGCCCAGCTCTGCTGATCGTAGGGTACAAAAAGTAGACCTACAAGAGGCAACTAGGTGGTGCACTGGGTAGAGTGCTGGTCCTGGAGTCAAGAAGATCTGAGTTCAAATCCAGCCTCAGACACTTAGTAGCAGTGTGTCCTTGGGCAAGTCACTTAACCTCTATTTCTCTCTGTTTCCCCATCTTTAAAATGGGAATAGTAAGAACACCTACCTCCCAGGGTCATTGTGAGGAACAAATGAGCAAATATTGGTAAACCTTTGTACAGTGCCTGGCACACAGTAAGCACTATATAAATAATAGCTATTATTATTATATCATACCCGTGGCATGAATTGGGTTCAATAGTACCTGATATCTTCTAGGCCCTGTTAGTAGACCATGGGGCTACTGAGGCAAATAGAAAAAGTCTTCAGGAAGCTCTCATTCTCCTGGGAGAGAGGCAACATGTACACAGGAAAGTAAATATCAAAGTATTTGAGGAAGGAAAGAATATTGACAACTGGGCAGTGCCCACTTATACTGGTTATTCCCTCTCTGTGATGCCACACCAAGTTATGGAACCTCAGAATCAGAAGGGGCCTTTGAGGGCATCCAACACAACCCTTACCCAAACAGGAATCCCCTGTATAACATCCTTGCTTGAAGAGAACAATCAATTCAGGTCAGCTGAATGCCAGCTCCTAGGCTGTTGGCTGGTGGAGTCACTCTCTTACTAGGCACCAAGTCTTAGGTTGCCCCTACTGAAGAATATATTCTGGGAGAGTCCAGTCCCTTGGAATGCTGCTGATACCATTCAGAAAGGCCTCCAGCCCTGAACACTCAAATTGGCCATGTTGGCAAGAGCTTGGAATCCTATAGGTCAGAGAGGAAAACTAAATATTACAAGATTTCCTCTTTATCTTCTGTAGGTGTTGATAGGGGAGAGGGGGCAAGGATGGAGCTGAGTGTACCTGGGGTGAGGAAGAGGCGGCTCACTCAGAGTGGGGGGGTTTGCCTGCATACATCCGTGTGCGTGTGTGTGTGTGTGTGTGTGTGTGTGTGTGTGTGTGTGTGTGTTTGTAAAGGGAAACAAGCTGTTTTAGCTTGGCAGGGGCTACACAGGGAGTCAAGAAGTAGCCCAAGGCCTATTCCATATTGATTTGAGGGCCTGAAAATAAGCATCTATATTACGAGTTCAATAGCATGGAAGGAGAAGCAGTGGTAGCATTGAGGAATCCTGGGTCCATGCTCGTGGCAAAACAGAGATTGAGAAAAGGATTAAGTTCAAGTGAGTTTACAGGCTGAGGGTTTGAGCCCCTGGACATGGGCTTGAGTCTTGGGCTTGAACGTTCTTGTAGTATTCTGAGAGACAGAAAGCCCCCTCCCCCAATATAGAAGTTGAGGGGCTGAAGCAGGGTCTTTATTCAGAGACGAGAAAGGGACAGTGAGAAAGAACAGAGAAACAGAGACTGGCAGCCACCAACACTGTGGGGCTCCTGGTGAATGCCTTTCCTCAGCGGGAATGCAAACGTGACTATGGGGAGAAGATCAGGGCCTAGCGGTAATGAATGCCGGGACAGAATGAGCACAGAATGAGCAATGATGGGCACAACTCATCTGAATTGTGGTCTCTTAAGCTTGCTTACACATTTGTTTGAAAATGATATAAAAAGATCTTCTCATGGCTTAGGGTAGGGTGTGACGGGCAGGTGGAGGGAGGGTGCCTTGGGCCACCTAACAAATGCCTTCATGAAGTAATGGTTTGTGTCAACGTGTAAAATGAAACAAATGGTGGTTTTTGAAATTCTTGCTGTAACTTCTTCCTTTCACAAATGACCGTAGAGCAAGCGTCTCCACCATCTGCTACATTCATGGTCTAAATGATGACTAAGTGCTCATCTCTGAGCAGATAGGAAGGTCATCTGCCATCATCCAATGGCCCCGTCCATGGACTCCAGCAGTTGCTGGCACCTCCCCCTGCTGCTGTGCATGTGGATGTACCCTCATATTGCTTTGTATCCTAAGCCTCAGAAGGAGCATGGGACATGCATAAGGTTCATAGATTCTTCTCGAGATACTTCCTTCTTACCCATGCTCATCATAGAGGGCAAAACCTTGACTGAAAAGTTATATTAAAATGATATTCATCTTCGAAGTAGAATTTGCTTTTTCATTTCAAGTTACAACACAGTTATAATTAACTTTCCATAGACAAAATACTGCTGTTCCCCCTCTCTCCTGACTAATGCACCCTCGTTAGCATAATCATGAAAGTATTGTCGTAAAGTTGTGGTAGCCATGGTGGCCTGGGTAAGATTGATTTCTTCTTGCTTTGGACTTCCTGGTGGCTCCATTGCTAACATTCTGTAGCAATCTGTACAGACACTTGGAAGGGAAGACTCTAAGGATTAGTCCCAAAAATCTAGGATCTGGGTTCAGGACAGGCGTTGACTTTGAGAATTCTAGATGAAGGACAGCTGTGCCATGGAAAAACAGGAACACGAGAGCCCAAAGGAAATTGCCAGGAGAAGATCAGGGCCATCAGGCTAGTATAGTGGAAAGGGCAAAGAGCTGGAGAGCTGGAGCCCAGGATTCTAATGCTGACTAGGGGGACTTGTTTTCTTTTTTAAGATTAAATTTTCTTTTCTTTTCAGATCTGCATTCTCTCCTTTTCTCCTCCCTCCCACTCCCATACACAAACATTAAGAAAGCAAGAAAAACAAAATCTCTGTTACAAACACGTATAGTCAAGACAAATTAATTCCCACATTGGCCATGTGCCCATAAAATATGTCTCCATCTGCAACCTGAGTCCATTACCTCTGTATGAGGAGGTGGGGTAGTATGTTTAATCTTGAATTATGAAGACTTTCAGTGGAGCATAGCCCCACTTTGAGCCTCAGTTTCTAACCTCAACCTCTGTGAAATAAGGCTGGAGCAAAAGATCTCTAATGATCCTTCTGACCTGAGGAGAAATGGAAAATGGGCCTCTGGG